TGTGTGTGTGTGTGTGTGTGTGTGTGTGTGTGTGTGTGTGTGTGTGTTTTGAGGAAGGGTCTTCTTCTGTAGCTCAGGATGGCCTTGAAGTTATGGCAATCCTCCTCCTGCCTTAGTGTCCCAAATTCTGTTACTTTAGGTATAATACATCATGCCTGGCATCTGTTTGTTTTGATTGTATTCATGTGTGCATACATATATACATATATGTAAGGCCAGGTCATACATATGTGTGTATGTATATATGTTTATACATACACACACACACACACACACACACACACTTTTAAGTCAAACTTTTTTTAGTGTTTGGACAAAAAAATTTTCTCAAGCTACATATCAATGTAGAATAGTAATAATAATAATAATAATAATAATAATAATAATAATAATAATTTACATATTCCTCTCAGGTTCCTTAACTCATGACCAAAGGCTGAGGAGTGGGTCATCAATCTCCCTCATTAGCAGCAGTCTCAACTCTGCCTTGAAGCCATACCTCTCCCTTCTGGAGTATCTAGTTGAGAACACTGTAGCTTTAAGATTTGCAGAACTCTGCATCTGAAGGCTGTCATCTACAACATACAACCATATCTTTCTAATCTGTTTTTCTTAGAATGTCATACATAACCAAGAAAAGCAACCTTTGTGCCTTTCTACTGTATATCCTTAAGTCTTATTTTCTGTTGTCTATATTTTGATGTTCAATTTGGTAATGGCAATATTTTTATTACCAAACATTTGTATTTTATTAAATTATATTCTGGTTTACTAAATTGAGATAGGAAGACTTGACTATGCTAAAGGTCAGTAATTTACAAGATCAGTATTTCAGGCATTTTTTTAAAGGAAGTTACCCTTAGTCGATGTACAGAGTGGCTTGTGTGTTTGCTTGTTGACTGTATGGATGAGTAACTGACCGAAAACGTGTTGTGGTTGACTCCATTTTAACATACTATAGGAGGTTTCTGGAAGGTTGAATTCAGCCTTCTTTGAGTTAATTCCCTTTACTAAAGATTTATTTTGTTGTTGTTGTTGTCTTTAATTGTGTGTCTGTCTGTCTGTCTGTCTTTGTACATGAATGCAGGTGCCTGTAAAGAAAAGAGATGTTGCCTTATCTGGAGCTTGAGTTACTGACAGTTATGAACCACTTAAATTTGGTGCTGAGAACTAATCCCAGGTTCTTTGCAAGAGCAGTATGTGCTCTCAATGTCTGAGCCATGTCTCCAGCACAGAACTTACTAATTTTCCCCATCTTGCTTAAGTCAGCATTTCTCTTACATTTGTTGTCTGGAGGGCTCTTGAATCCCCAGTTGCTAGCTTAAGATGTGTGATCTGACTCAAGAATTCATACTTGAAACAAATCCCCATGTGACGCTGCCGCTGGCCTGGGGACTGTGTGTGAAAGTACTTCTCAAAGTTACGTTAGTATATAATGGAAGCAAGTGTTTAAACAGTGGGACTTTGTGACTTGCTACTGGTTTAAAATAAACCAGTAAGAATGTCTTGTTTTAAATAAATGTGAAGTGCTGAAAGCTGGGTTTTCAGGGTTTCTTTTTCCCTCCATAAACCATTAAAAAATACTTATTTCTGTACAATCTACACATAGTAGGAATTCTGACAGTTCTGGACTTGTGTTACTTGTCAATATATTTTGACATGAAAATCCCGAAGATTTTATAGTGGCCATGGAATTCTGGTCCCCGTAACAAGGGGATTTAGATTCCTCTGCACTGTTTCCCACGGAGTCTACTGGCTTTTCTGGGTTCCAGTTGCTATTGGGGCTTCATATTGAAGCCAGGGCTTTGTGCATGTTTAGTCAAGGCTTGTCACTGAGCTACACCCAAATCCTTCAAGTCATCTTCATGAAGCGTTTACACTGTGAGTCAAACAATATGTCAAATGTCTCTAGTTCATGACCTTTAACCATCACAGCCTCAGGAGAAAGAGAGTGAAGTTACCTACATCCATTGAAAGCTCACTGGGCAAATGTAACTGGCCAAACGAAAAGAATGGAGGCCTTTTTCGTTTGCTATATTTTCTTTCATTTTGAGAAAGATAATTATTTTCAAAATAGTGGACCAAGTGCACTACTTTATAACTTAATTTATCTTTCAAACATGTAATGTTTCAGCTCATGGGAAGGGTCGATGGTGGTTAGTTTCAGGCACTCGTAGATCCCGCTGCAGGACATGGCCGGGATACTCTGCCCTCTTCCCTGAATTCCCTAGGCCAGGGACAGGTGTTCCCCTCTCCCAGAGGTTCTTCACTATATAATCCAGACATTTTGGCTCCCTTTGCTGTCCTCTTTCTCTGTATCTCTCCTCTTTCTCTCTCTCTCCCTCCTCCTGCATGGGGGCTGAGAGCTGCTTCCAATAAATCTGCATTTATATAATATATACATAGTCTTGACATTATCTCATTCCAACATTTCAGTCAGATGGGTCAAACAACACTGAAAGAAAGTTGTTCTGTGCCAGACATTGAGTTATATACCAGAGAGAGAGAGAGAGAGAGAGAGAGAGAGAGAGAGAGAGCATTCAAAACTCCCTATCTTCATGGAGTTTGTGGCTTTAAACCTTTCATTGTTGGTTGTTTGCATTCTGCTTTAACAACTGAGGAAATGCAGCTCCAGTGAATTAAATCGGCCCCAGGGAGAGAACACTGAAGAGCTGGCAATGCTGGTATTTGTTTGAGACAGAATTTTATATAGCTCAGGCAGGCCTATGTAGCTGAGGATGACCCTGACCTTCAGGTTCTCCTGTCTCCACCTCTTGAATACTAGTATTAAAAATGTGTATTACTACATAGTGCTGGGGATATAGGACAATTGGTAGAAGGCTCTTGAGCTCACATGAAGAGTTCAATCCCCAGCACACCCCTGATTTAAATACTTCGGAAGCATTCCTTCTCTGTACAGTGTGCTAAACTGGGTGGTTCCTAAATTGCATGCAGATTATTTGAATAACATTCATTCTTGAGCCTCCTCCCAGTCCTCCAAAATTATAACTTCAGAACCTTGGCCTATGCATCTCTTCAAGCCATCTCTTTCTTGTTGGTAAACCTTGTGGTAAGTGTAGAAGACCCTGCTTATGTCGACAGTGGCACACCTTCATACTAAAGACAAAGTGGTACTAATTTTTTCTTTCTATTGTCTCTTGTCACTCACTCTTAAGCAGGAAGGTGATTTGGCTCTAAATGTTCTGTCTTGATAAGTAAGTGTATTAGCTATGTTTGCAGCTTTCCCAGTAAATCCAAAAGTAAAGTAAGAGAGGAGTAATTACTAAGCAGACATTGCCTGCTACTTATACAGAGCCTAGTAAAACACGATGCAGTGCAATTGTAGAATCTGTTTATAAAGCATGACTTTAGAAATCAAATTTATGAAATATGATTTCAGAAATCAGGTTTATTTCATTCATCTGGATCGAGTAGCCAACTAAATGGATTTTTGAAAAGCCTCCTGCACTAAATGATTATTGCAAAAATAAATTTATGTGACTTGTCAGAAACTCATTTTGCAAGTATCTAATTTTTATCACAGAGTGACTAAAGCTTATTAGCTACTTGATATGAATTCAGATTAACAGGGAAAGCGGTTGCATGGCCTGATTGCATTAACCAAGGAAATTGTCTCCTTGGTGTAATGGGGTTTTTCTCTTTTCTGCTTGGCTATCATTCTATGCTGATGATGTGTCTCATGAATATGTATAGAAATTGTAAGGAAAGAGAATTCATGCGGGTCATTTGAATATAAACTGGTGCATGCTGAAGGATTTAGACAAGTCACCCTGAGTCCATTTATGCAAAGATTTTAAACTGTAATGCTGTGGCTCACCATTTTGCATGACAGCTTTGTGGGACTCTAATTTGTAAGAGGAAAAGAATGTTCACAGAGTGTCTGATATGATCTGTTGTGGCTTCCTTCTAACCCCAATGCCAGTACAGTCACCTTGGGATGCTGGTCACAGAGGCATCGTTTAACTTTTCCATTTACAGGTCTATTTGCTTTCCTGGGAAGAGGATGGAACCCACCTGGATATTTAGCATTTCTGCAGTGTCTTAGACGTGTTTAGACATCTGTATAAGCAAGTCTTCAATACTGGGTTGTTCATCATTTTCTACTTAAGTTCAGGAGTTCCTTTTACATAGACCACAGTGCCAGTGACACTTCCTGGAGGTGCACAGCAGGATAGCTCTGCAAAAGAAAAGTTCATTCGATTGTCAGGCAATGATTTGACACCTACCTGGAGACCTGTGCTTCTGATTAGCTCATATTCTTGTGTAACATAATCAATAGAATCTTCATAGCTTTTTTTCCCATCCAGTTTCTTTTTTCTTACTGCTCTGTAATGTTTGTAATAGCAAATGACACTTGCTAGGTTATTTAGGACAAAATTCTACACATTCTAACTTAAATAAGTAGCCTTCAACTTTTTATGAACAAATTTATAGTTTGATCTAGAAAATTCTCCTCAGCTTCTCAGATTTCCTAAAACTCTACTGTTTCCACAGAAAAAGAAGGGAAATGACTTACCATTCCTGCCAGACAAGCAACATACTGTTTACCATCGAATGCTTATACTTGTTTTGAAAAATAAAATTTTCATTACATTTTGCAATTTCATTAAATTATTTTTCTTGTGAGTATGTGTTCATGTGTATAGGTGCAGGTGTACATGTATGTGTGTGTATGTGTGTGTGTGCAAGTAGATGCCAGAGGTCAAGCTCAGCGATCATTCCTCAGAAGCCCATCCATTCTTGTTTTGGGGACCAAGTCTCTCACTGGGACCTTGGGTCCCAGATATCTGCATGTCTTGCCCTTCAAAGTATGAGGTTACAGAAGTGCGTCACCATGCCTTAAACTT